CAGAGAGGAGGGAGGGGCTTATTCCGAAAAGGCAGATTCGAGGGCGAGCGTTTTGACTAACTTCAGTAATTAACCGGCAGAGACCGTGGCTGGGTAATTCGATCCCGGGGAGAGGGACTGAGCCCGCGAAGCCAAAAGTGCCACCCACTCCATAAGACCAAGGAATTCTGGAAGGACTGGCAGCTCTGAGCTCCGGGATGAGTTCAACGGGGAACCATTCATTTAACAAAAAGATCCTTACACCTACCTCGAAAGCCTGAGAGAGAGCCTGGCACAGGGCTAGCTGCCCTCAAAAGTCTCAGTTTGCTTACCCTGCTCTCGCTTTGGTAACACAAAGCCTTGCCAGGCGGTAGTGCGCCCTCCCTCCCCGCCGCGCCTTGGGCACAGACTCCCCAAAATAGTTCCCCGGGTAGGTACCACAGCGCTGGGGTCGGTCAGCTGACGAGGGGAGCCCGCAGAACTGCGGTCACACATGAAATGACAGAGCCGAAGGGAGGCGGCCGCCCGGGCGCCCGGTGACAGCGGGCTCACCTCCGGCGTCCTCCCGGGAGCGCGGCGAGCGCCCCCGCGGCCGCCCAGAAACGTGCCGTGGAGGCTCGGTCCCTCCCCGCCCTCCCCGGCAGCGCCGTCTGGGCACGGAGGACGCTGGCCCCGCAGGGCAGGACGCCCCTCTGCCCTCCCCGCCCCCGCCCCGTTCCACACACCCCCAAAGATCGTGCTGGAAGACGTCCACTTTGCGTGGAGTAATTGGAAACTAGAACATCAAATGGCTTGGGGGGGGAGGGAGGGGGGAGTGGGCGAGAGATAGTTGTTAATGCTTAACGTGTTTGTGCGGGTTACACGACCGCTTTGAAATCCGCCCGGGCAGATCTGCAAGTTATTTGAATGTATTATTCCAGTACCTGTCATTTATCACTTTATTCAACACGTCTTTGCCAACTCAATAGCTTTTGATCTCATTCTGCCTCCATTTCGTAATTTCCGCCCTCTTAAACATATCAAATACTTACTTAAAAAAAAAAAGTGTACAATATCGAAACCCACCGAAAGAAATCCACCCAGCCCCGGCCGAGCTAGACACGAAGGTAAATTTTCAAAAGCCAAAAAATATAAAAAGCACGTGATGTTCAAGCGGCAGTAGAAGAGCGAACGATCTCTCTCTCTCTCTCTCACTCACACACACACACACACACACACACACACACTCGGATCCTTGAACAAAACCCTTCTCGAACAAGTTATTTGATCTTGACTAAAATCAGCAGTTGGATTCTCTTTGTAAAGCTGACAGCCAAACTCTGACAATGGCAAAATACTCGAGCCCCAGCTAGTGGCGCTACCCCTTTAAAAAAGGAGTCGATCCTGCTCGCCTGCAGAAGTGAATACAGTATTTTCAAGCTTGCCCTGTAATAAGCATTACTGGGAGGGGGGGGGGCAAAATAATAAAGAAAGAAGAGAGGGAGAGATAGGTTTACCACCTCGCCATGGTCGCTATTTCTGCCCTGGGGAGTGTCTTCTGGGAGGAAATAAAGTTTCGAGCTGGATAAAAGTTGCCGGCTGGTCCTCTCTTCCCACAACAGCTGGAGCTCCGCTATGCAAATCGGATCCTTTGGCGTACATCTTACAAAGAAAAAGTCGCCAAGGGACAAAATTCTTGGTTTGCCTTCGAGGTGGAATTGAAAAGCCTTGTAGAAAATGTAAGGTCCGTGTAAGCCACACGGTGAGCCGACCCACTGCAGGGGGGAAAAGCACCAAATAAATAATGTAGCCATCAGAGTACAAACATCTATTCCATACACATTTACACACATCCACACTCTTAATACAGACGATCCAACAGATATAAGGCTGGGTGGAAAAATAATAGAGCCCTACATTTTTCTCCCTCCCTTATTAAAAAAAAAATTCTGGTCCCCCCCACCGCCACCCCTCCCCACCTCCCCTTTCTGAGGCGGTAAAATTACATTATGTATGTATGATCAGTGCAGGGATTTTTTTAAAAAACAATAAAAATGATTTGGGGGATGCAGAGGGTAAAAGTTTGGTGAAAAGTTTGTGGGGGGTGTGGGTGGGTGCAGAGGTGTGGGTGAGCTTGGGGGCTTGGGGGGGCGGGGGGGTGCCGGGAACGGAGGAGCGGAGGAGAGCGAAATACCTGGAGTGAGTTGGGCTCCATCTCGACGTTCTGAATTGATTGAACTCAACATTCTCTCCAAACTTGTTGGCTTGAATGGATTGCATCAGGTCCTGGCAGGGGAAAACATTTTCTGCCTTCAGCCGGCGTAATGTCTCAATATAAAACTGAGCTCTTGACTCCCCTTTGGCACGAAAATGATTGAAAATAGGTCCCAATATTTCTCTGACGACTCAATTTTCAGCTCTTGTCAAAACTATGTGGGTTTGCTTCCAAATATGAGTCGATCAAATTCATAATCGGGAGAAAGGCTATGTCCAATCTCGGCGGGAAGCGGATGGATCAAGGCAAAAAACATACAGAAAGATTTATAAAAATAAAATTCATGCTAAGACTGTATGAAGACGTAATTTCTCTCTTTCCAAAGGCCCCTATCTAGGGACATGGACTGATGAGATTTTTGGAGGAGTTGAGGACTTCCGAGCTCCGCTGTGCATCTGACAGGACCTGCTTGTATATGTCTAATATAAAGAACATTTCCTGCAGAGATTCCGGGGCGCTGCTCCTCTTTCTAATGCTCCTTAGCAGATTTGCTGTTATTAGACATGTAGATTTGTTTGATAGTTAAATTACGCTTCCTCACTGCCATGTTTTCGAGAACTAATCTGTTAAATTATCTTTTGATGCCTATTTACATGGAAGGGAAAAGTGGGTTATCGATTATATAAACATATAAATATTAATGCATTTGTTCGCTTCGCGAAAAAAAATACTCAGCAAAAAAAAAAAAGAACAGAAAGACAAGTGAGCAGTGCACACACATCTCAGGATTTTGCAAACAATATTGAACGGACAGCGACTGCATTTAGGGACTGGAACAATAAACGATGCATGATAAATCAATAAATGCGAGCAGCGAGTCTGCTCGGAATATGAATTCGGGCTCCCGGTTCTGCGTGTGCATTCTTTAATTTTGAAGTATATACACTAGTACGTGTTTACAATGCTGATGGACGCCAAGGGCGCTCTCAAATGATAATGTGTTTATATAACCCGGCGCTACAGGAATAATATACCGACTCCTACCCCACCCCCACCCCCTCCCCCGCCAAAAAAGGGAGGGGAGCTTCCTCAATAATAGTTTGAAACTGAAAAAATCCATTTGCAAACTAGTTAAATACAACCCGAAATTAAGCTGTTGAAAACCGGGGGCATGAACCATAAGACAATAAAGGCTTTAAATGTGTATATTTATTGTTCTGGAGCCCTGGAGCATTGCGAGGTTTGCATGCACGGCTATTATGCAAACACAGAGAAACTTAAGAGCGACAGAACAAGGAACAGGCAGAGACTGCAAAGCCCTCGCTCGCTCCGACCCAGCTGCCGGTCCTCCGCCAGGCTAGATTGCATTTTCGCAGTGTTGATGTAAAATGGTGTACTCGTTTCCCCCACGTTCCCCCACCCCCTTCCACACTCTCCTCCCACTCCTTCCAGCAACACCCCCCCCCCATTTTATTATATTGGCACCAATCTTTCCAAAGTGGGTCTGGCATGCTAAAAAAGTAAACATGTACTATGTGGGGAATAAGGTCTGTATAGTATGACAGTTGAAACTTGATCTGTGATAAAATTACAGGATGTTGAAATTACTAGTAAGCTATTTTTAACGCTTTCGCAACGTTTCACCTCTAGTCACAGCATCTAGTTGAAACAGGATTACTTTAATGAAAATTATATTCACATGGCTGAAGTTAATACACTCAGCAGAGCACAAACGCCTCATATTCAGTGACTTGAGGTGGAAAGACCCTCTGTGTGTATTTTTATGCCTTTCATAACGTCTGCGTCGGCTGCAGTAAGAATTAGGGCACTTAACATTATCTAAACCACATTTTTGATTCAGAACATGGGGAAGTAATAAAAGGCAAGATCTATCTCCTTTCTATACACACAGAGATAAACGAAAGAAAATGGCAGATCCTCCAATTACAATAAGTAATAAAAGCCCATGCCAAAGAGCCGGTATTCTGAAAGCTGTCGAAAACTATTTTAATAATTTAAAGTAATATCACAACTCCGTACTGTGGAAAATGACAATGTAACAATTTGCAGTCTCCCATCTTTTGCATTAGCCAAATTATGACTTGCACATCACTCTTTAATTATCTTCCTTGAAATTTCATCTGATCTGCCTATTTTATAAACATGGGTTACAAAAAGAAATTACAGCTCTCTAGTGTTTTCTCTCTCTTTTTGACTTTATGATGCAGACGTTTGATTAGAATAACCCATTTTGTCCATTTTTAACATATGAATGGACTTGACTGAAGGGCATTTTACATTTTTTTTTTGAAATACATGAGCTATGTCTAAGGCTTCTGTTCGTCTCTCTCCTGTTATCGTAAATACATACATCTAGTTCAAGAAATCCTATATTTAAAAACTTGGGTTGCAGTATTTTGACAAGATCGTATTTGAGATCGACTCTGAGTCAGTTTCCTGGTATGACCAATGCAGTGGCATTTATGCAGGAAACCTCAACATAATGCTTGAGGGTACCCCCTTGACTGTATTATATATTAAATCTCTCTTTAAAAATACACAGCTCTTTTCAGCATCTAAGCCACTTCTGCTGTTTTTGGTGCTGTAAGTCTAAGTGTCTATAATGGATGTCATCTCATTAGAAACCCTCTTTCTCTGTCTCTTCAAGGTAGGCACTGAACTAGGCTGAATGCTGCCTAATCTTTCTGATAAGGTTTCTGAGACCTTAACAATTGCAGGGATCTAGGTCTGAACAGTTTTGAATATCTGCAGTCTTGTAATCAGATGAATGCTAAATTTCAAAACTGAATCACAGGGGAATTTCTCTTTTTTACAACACCTCTGCCCCACCCCCATGAACATAATAAATCTAATAAATCAAGCCTGGAGTCCAATACTGCAAAAGGCTTTTAAAATTACAGATCACAATGCTGTTGGATCCCCCCTCCCCCCCCAAAAAAAAGCCCCTCCATTTTACCTCTCTTTAATGTGATGCTTGATAGGCACCTGTAAATTTATCTGTGTAGCAAATATCCATACAAAGAAAGTTTCAATTAAGATAAGGAGATTGTATTGAAACAGTTCTTTGAAGTAATGTAGTTAATAGCCTGTTTGATTTCTGCTTGTGAGAGAGTAATAACGTGGATTCAAGGCTCCATCAATCACAGAGCAGATGTAAGACTTGAGACACCGACACCCAAGGGAATAGAGGCAACTCCTGCAGTGCAGGGTCCCTGGGCTAATGTAAAGTAAATACTCATAAACAGATTGAGTGTTGTAAGAAGACAATCCATTCAGGACAGTTACAATCATGAAAGCAACTGCTTTATTTATCTATTTTTAAAAAGCTGGAGCTGGGACTTACAGTGTATAAAAGAGAGAGAGCGAGTGTGTGTGTGTGTATGTGTGTGTGTGTGTGTGTGTGTGTGTGTGTGTGCAGGGGGGGTGCTGTACACGTTCCACTGTCCCACTCTTTCTAGGCTTTTGCTGGTACTGAGAGCCTAGAACCTATACTCACAAATCTATATTCCTACTGCTTTGCTAGCTCCAAATCCAACTCTCTGTTTTAATTTATCTGGTCTATTTTTAACGGTGAAAAATGAAAACTCATTTTTTGCCTCATAAGAGGGGAGGAGGAAGGGGCTGGCGGTGGTGGGAGGGGACAGTAGACACTTTTATTCAGTGTCTGTGACTCGTTTCATAAGGATCAGGAGGATTAAGTTAGTTGCAAAAACCAGCAGTGACATAATTAGGCAGCTTGGACTATAATAAACAGGATCATAAAAAAAATAATAAAAGTACAGTTTGAAGAAAAAAGGCGACCATTTCGAAAACGTCAACCTCTCTGCGCACCCTTGGGTTTCCCCTCCCCCAAATTGCAAAAGACAACTGAAGCATTTTTGACCTTGGCTACAATAATACTTCATGTTTTAGCACTTTAGTCAGCATTTTATCTGCTAATTGCTACACACTACCGCATGTGGCTCGAAGCTGCCACTGCAGCTTTCTTTCAGTGGTGAACGGATTGCTTGATAAAGACTGGGAATTCAACCTGGCTGTTCCCTTTCTTGCTCCCCCTCAGCATCCCCCTCCCCTTTTTTTCTTTCCCTTTTCCAGATAGAAGCTGCTAGTTTTTCCAGAAAATAACACGTGGATCAGAACTGGGACGATGAATGGTTCCCTAATCTCCTTCCACGGGTTAAAGCTCGGCCACTTTTGGCGCTCAGAGGCAAAAAGGAGGAGGGGAAGGGGCGGTGGAGCCGAGTGGGGCGAAGCCGGGCCGGTGGATCTTGGCCTACTGGTGGACCTGAGGCTAGGTGATTCTGCAGCTTGGTCCTCTGGCTGGACCATCACTGTTTGGAAGTCCGTTGGGATCTCCGCGCTACCCATGGAGGGACCTCGAGATAGGGGCGCTCTCCCCTCTTGCTTGGTGACAAGTGGATTTAGAGAACAGCTCTGGTGTCTGTGGATTGATTCGTGGATTGAAAAGCCAGCACAGTCGGAGGGTCAGCCACCTCCTGGTCCCAGCCCTCGCTAAGCCTGGCGCCATCGTGAGCAGTGGGGGTGGGTGGCGTTATTAATAAGGCGGCCTCCCGCAGAGCAGGCTCGCCAAGCCTTAGTGCAACAAGTCTATTGGTTTGAAGGAGGATAAACCGGGTTATACGGGTCATTGCTTTCCAGGAGACCTCTAGTGGTTAAAGGCTGAGCTACAGCTTCAGGTTGGGGCTCCTGTCTGTCGCCAGCCACTGGGGCTGTAGTGGTTAGGGACACCAGCTCAGGTCAGGGCTGTAAAGGCTGGCAGCTTGAGGACAGAGTTGGGGGCTTGGAGTAAGAGCCCGGAGAGTCGCAGGGATGTCGGAGGAAGGAATTCTCAGCAAGGGGTCATGGAATGTCCTTTGTGGGCACCAAGCTCCTGTGCCCCAAGTTCCTGTGCCCTCAGTACAGATGGAGGCTTCCTATCTTATCTCGCCTCTTCCACCCCCCCGCCCCCACCCCAGTTAAGACAAGCCAGGAATTCTCAGGAAAGTTGAGTTATGTGCCTGAGCCACTTCCA